TTTCTTTCTTTCTTTCTTTCTTTCTTTCTTTCTTTCTTTCTTTCTTTGAGACAGGGTTTCTCTGTAGCTTTGGAAACTGTCCTGGAACTCGTTCTGTAGACTAGGCTGGACTCGAACTCACAGAGATCCACCTGCCTCTGCCTCCCGAGTGCTGGGATTAAAGGTGTGCACCACCACCACCCGGCTAGATGTTGGTTTCTTAAGACAGGGTCTCACTATGTAACTCTGACTCATCTAGAACTCATTATAGATCAGGCTGGCCTTGGACCATCCCCATCCCTAGAGACCCCCCCCATCCCTATTTTTAAAGCTGTGTGCCACCATGCCTGGACCCATAATTATTCTTATTAACATTTGCATGATTCCAAAAACATAAAGCACCAAGTTCATAGTAGGTCCTCAACAAATGTGTGTCTTTGGGGAAGAGAGAGAAATAAGACAAGAGAAGATTTTAGGAGGGAGGTTACCAAGTGGTCCTTTCCCCACGTCTGTGGCAGCCAGAACAAGGGCACAGACTATGGCTGTGTACTACGGGCACTGGAGGGAACCCAGTGACCATCAGAACTTGCCAACTGCCACTGAAGAGGCCGAAACTAGCCCTCAGACAGGTTTGTTTGGCTTGAACAGCGTGTCCCCAAAATTTGAACTAGTTGGCTACCTTTTAAAAAGTGGAAGATTTTGTAACCGCCCTGGCAGAAGAGGAGACATTCTAGAGACAGGAAAGTTTGGGGCCTGGTGGCAGCCAGAGGAGGAAAGAAGAGAGTTCACTGAGTAGCTACACCTTGTCAGACCATCTTGGAAGAGACACGGGAGCCTAGACAGCTATGGGTCAGCGGTGGGCCGGACCACACCTAGCTGGGGACTCTTAGGCGATTCGTCCCTTTTGCCCTCTACTGGAAACCTAAACATCTTGTCAGGACCCTGAAGACAGACTGGTGGAGTCACCAGATGAACCCCTTTATTTTTTCCTCTTCCTGTGCCTACATTAAATGAATCTCCTGGCTCTGATTTTCGCCGTTACTTGTCTCTTTAGTGTGCCTTTCAGGAGGAGGATGCCCAGCTTGTTGGTCCTGCCAGGGCCTGGCCTTTCATCCTAAAATCTCTAGTGGTACATTCCTGTAGTCCCAACATTTGAAAGACGGAAACAGGAAGTTTGTCCATCTGAGGCCAGCCTGATGCGTCCCGTTGAGACCTTCATGCTATCTAGTCATCTGCAAGATTTTTGCACAGAAATCCATGTTTAAAACTTCTCTTGAAAAAAAAAAAACCAACAGAATATCTAGCAATGCTGGACTCCCATGTCCACAGGAAGAGAATGCGGTGGGCCTACTGTGGCCGAACTGCCTTGCATGTAGATGCAAATGAGCTAAGGAGACAAACCCGTTGGAACAGGAAGTATGGCAGTGAGTGCCTGGCTGAGGGGTGGGCGGAAATGGGGAGCAACTGCTAATGAGACTTTTTTTCCTAGGACGTAAAATGTCTGCACGCACTGTAGATAGGCTAAACACTGTGGAAATGCAATTCTCAAAGATAAAACTTAAGGTATGTGGTGTATATCTTAATAAGACTGTCTTTGTGTCTTGTTAGTTTTAAAGGCAAGTGCTGATTCAGCAGATCTGACCAGGAGCTGTTTTTGATGAGCTCTCAGGTGTGGTGCAGGGCGCTGGTGTGCAGGCAGGGCTGGTTTCTACTTTTGCTGCACATTCAAGCCACCTGGGCACTTTAAAAATAAATCCTTTGTCTAACCACCCCCCCCACCCCGGTCCTGTCAATCACCCAGCATGTCTGTCTGCTCTCAAGGCACTTGCATTCTGGCAGAAGACAGTTTAAAAAACAGACACTGTTCCTTTCTCTGGCTACCAGGCTACTGAAATATTGAGCCCCAAAGAATTATAGTTTCCCCAGGATATCCTGCTAGGGGAAGAGACGTGCTGAAGCCCTGATGGCAGCCGGCCCGAGGAGGAACTTGCCTCCTAGGAAGAGATTTCACACAGTTCTGACAACTTGTGGGACTTTCTTTCTCGGGAGAAACTGGAGCACAGACATTAATGGGTTAGTAATGGCCTTATAGCAGCCTTGGCCGACTACTTAGCTATGCGTATATCTATTGCATGCAGAACAGTACACGTTTGAGACGTTGTCTTTATTTGCTCCTGTTCCCAGTGTGGTCACAGTGAAAAAAATCTTCACTGTCTGATTTTTGCTATTACTTGTCTTTTTAATTGACGTATTGGGGATGGGAGTGTCTTGAGGCAGGCTTGTTTGGGAGCTGAGGGTCCAGACTCTGACCAAAAGAACTCTCAGTGGCATGCTGGAGGTTCTGCACACTGTTGCTGGCACAGCTACCGAATGAGCTTACTTTGCAGCAAAGTTAGGGAACTACCTACTTTCTGTTCCCCCCTCCTTCCCCAGTCCCAGCCTGGGCGGCAAGGCATTTGATCCAGCAAGGCTTCAAACTTCTCAGCTTGGCTTCCACAACCCTGGCTGCCTCCCCACTCAATGCCTCTACACATTCTATTTCTGACATTCTGAGTTTAGGCCCTTCCTCCCCTGTTCCCCAAGTCCCTTATTAATGGAGCTTGTTTTGTTTCCTTGGGCATCTTTGAGTGGGAGCATGTTAGACACATTTGGACAAATCTTGGGCACTTCAGTCCTCCCTGCTACTTCTCTTCCCCAATCCAGTCATCTAGAACTATCCAGGAGCTACAGGCTGGGCCGGCCACCCAGAGCTTGCCCGGCCTGCCCTGTCTGGCAACCGCGTGGAGAGCCACATGCCTTCTGCTTCCCTGCTAGCCACTGAACCTCATGGGGAGCCATGTGCTGCTGGTCATCAGGGAGGGGCAGTGCTCAGCTAGGAAGTCACCAAGAACCAAGAACCAACCGCAGCAGTCACTTTTCAGAGGCCCGAGGGAGGGGAAGAAAGTGGGCAGGACGTGGGAGGAGAGCTTGCAGCAAGGACACCTGGGTAATGTATTATTGCGTGAGAGTGTCTGGGAGCAAGCAGCCCTGACTGAGGTCCAGACGTGGGCAAGTCATTCCAAGGGAAAAGAGGTTATAACCACAGAAAGAAAGAACATTTCGTACCGAGTGGGAGCGAGACAGCTGGGCAGGGCCAATGGAAAGGCCCCCGCCCAGCCTGGCTTTGAAAGTGCAGCTGCCATCGCCCAGATGTTTTTGTAAACATAGGGTCTCTCATATTTTCTCGGTCGACTGTTTGTTTTCTCTGTTGAAGACGCCTTGGACGCAGCTATTTGTGTCTTTCCCTTTACTCTTTTGGCTTGTCCCTTTTCCTTGAGCTTCGAAAGCAGCTAATGAGAGTCTGCCTCGAAGGTGCAGTAACAGCCGAGGAAGGAAGCCGCAGTTAAGCCGAAGGTGTCCTAATGGATTTAACACCAGGGATATTTTCACACTCGCTTTTGATAATTCCTCTGAAGTTCAGTGGCAAGTGCCAGAACCTAGTGTAAAGTTTGGAAAGCAAACAAATGCCTCCACCCAAGACCCTTTGCCCTTGCAAGACTGTCTTTGTCTCTTACCTCTTCGGGGTTTAGTGCAAATTGGGGCACATGTGTGCCTGCAGGGACCTTTGCAGGGTGGCAGTCTATGCGGAGGTCTATGAAGACCATGATCTTTGTGTTTCTTGTTCCTTTCACACAGGAGGCCAAAGAGCCGGGTGGAGAGGACCTGTGACCCCGGAGCAGTCCAACTTTGAACAGGGTCAGAGTTGAACGTTCTCAGAAAGTTCTAGTCCTTCTGCGGCTGCCTTCCCACAAGGAAAAATCGCTGACAGGACATAGTCAGCACCCCTGCTGCCCCACCCAGCCTTGCCAGCTTGCTCTTGGTCCCTGCCCTTTGCCTTCTGGCTCTGGCTTCCTCTAAGACAGTGGCACCAGAGAGGAAAGGCGAAGTGCAGAGGTGTGTGGGGCCAGGGACTCTGGGTTAGGGTGAAAGACCCCAGGAGAGCCACCATCTGTCAAGCAAGAACTGGGAGCCTCATAAAAGAATTGGGGCGGGGGAGGTTGTAGTCTGGCAACAATGGCCAAATGAGGTTGGTCTGAGTTGGGACCTTGGGAAAAAGAATCAATGAAGGATTAAAGTGGGGATAATTTTAATAGCTAACACTTATTAAAGGCTTACTAAGTGTCAGATGCAAGGCCAGGTGCTTAACACGAGTGATCTCATTTAACTCTCTTAAATGTCTTTATTATCACTGCGTTATTCTTGGGTAGTGGAAATTCTGGCTCAGAGAGGTTAGGTAGCTTGTCTGAGGTCCACAGCCAATGAAGGAAGACTGAGGCCTAGAACTCACATAAGTTTGAAACATAATCTTAGGTAACCTCTTCACTGCATAGCTTCAGAGGTACCAAGGAAGGTGCTAGTAACTCCATTATAGGTCTTGAGAAAGACCACTGGGAGCAAGAGGTCCTGGAGAAATGCAGAAACAGTTTTGGGGAGGATCGTGTCTCACTAATGCAGCCTATGATGAGAAGCCTTTGTTGTTCTCAGCCTCCTGTCTCTGTCAAATCCACGTGGAGCTCCAGCCCTGTGCAACACAGAGGATCATGGGCCAGTGACAGGGCTTGAGGCTAGTTGGAACAGCTGTGCTAGAGCTCAGGAAATCACCGCACAGAAGAAGTTGACTTCCTGACTTCCATATCCCTAGGATGATGAAGTTTGAGCTAGAAGGGTGTGCTAGGGACTCATGACAGCCAGGCCTGAGACAGGGAAGGCGCCGGTTCACGGACTGTGCCGGAGGGCTCTCTATAAAAGGCCAGCACTGTTTTGACACCTGCTGTTTTCTCCTGTGCAAACCTTTCTATTCAGATTCCCACAGGAGGCCTTTGGAGTGTTCTTTGAGATTGCCTTGGATCTGGCCTGGCCCTTCTAGCCAGGGACAGTGATTCACCCCGACCAGAACATTGACATCTGCTCAGGAGAACACTGTGTGCTCTGGACTGGTGCCGGAGCCCAAGGGAAAAGGGAAGTGTGCAGAACCCATAGGCCAAGGGAAAGCCTGGGCGGGCTTCTGCTATGGCAGCTGCTCAAACACTTCCATCTAAGCCTGGCCTTCTTCCTTTGGGCAGTGGGCGACCATGGTACCGTCACCGGGTGCTTCCTCAGCTCTTCTTGGGGGCTGTTTTCCCGCAGGTAGCCTCTATTCCTTCGACTTCTAACATGAAATCCCCTTGAAGGTAGTAGCCTCAGCCGATTTGGAATGCATTGTCTCTGTATCCTGCCACCCTGTCCCTGCCCTCTGCCTCTATCATAATTTCCCATCCTCTTGCCTAGCCTCACAGCCTCCAGCTTTTCTCCCCAAAACTTTATATACCCCTCCATACTACCTGAGCCATCTGCTTGCAAGGCATGTGTGAGCCTGTTAGTCTTGCAGTGAAAACCTTTCAGTGGCTTCTCATCACCCCAGGACCCAGGGTAGACATTGGGGTGTAAGGCTCAGAATGTTCACAGTTCATCCAGACCTTGCTTTCTATCTACCACCATAAAGATACCAGGTTAAAAAAAGAAAGAAAGAAAGAAAGAAAGAAAGAAAGAAAGAAAGAAAGAAA